CATGACGATGAGTAAAACAATAATAATAATAATAATAAACAATATTAATAATAAACAATAATATTAATAAACAACAATAATAAACAATAATAATAATAATAAACAATAATAATAATAATAAACAATAATAATAATAAATAATAATAATAATAAACAGTAATAATAATAATAAACAGTAATAATAATAATAAACAGTAATAATAATAGCAACAAGAGGAGCTAAAATGACTTAATGGCAATTAAACGAGGCCCGAGCATGGACGCCATTCATCTGTCGGACTGCCTAATCGCAAAGAATCATAAACATAAACAAAGAAATATAAACATAAACAAAGAACCATAAACATAAACAAAGAAACATAAACAAACATACATAAGAAAACAAACATACATGAGCAAGCAAACATAAACAAACAAACAAAAACATGAAAAAAATAAACAGAAACAAACAAGCATAAACATGAACAAGCAAACAAAAGCATGAACAAACAAACATAGACATGAACAAACACAGACAAACATAAATATAAACAAAGGCTAAAAAAAGCTTAGAAAAACCCATTCACTACTTAAAGCAACAACAGAAACTTAAACAGTAAAACCGTCACCATAGATATAGAAATACAAACATAAACAAAGAAACTATAAGCAGAACAGCATAAACCAAAAAAATGTTGGCAAACCAGCATCATCAAAACAATAGACATACAATATGGACAGCCGATAAGCCAAAAAAACGACAATAATAACAACAATGGCGACAATATAAACGTCATCATGAATATAACGTCATAAATATGAACAACAACAACAACAACAACAAGTCACAATAATAATAATAAGCAACAATAACAGCAACAAAAATAACCAGAGAAATTATGATATCAGTATTCTATAACAGTACGTTTGCAAAATGAAAGGCGGGACACACACACACACAAACACACATACAAACACACACACACACACTCATTTGTATATATTCTCAATGAAAAATCAATATCATAGTGTGCATATACGTATGTGTGTGTGGGTATTCATATGAACAACGTGACGTTTTTCCATCGATTTTTGTGTTAATATTATAAAGATAATAATAATAATATTATTATTATACTAAAATAACAAGTAGTTATATTAATACAACCAAATACAAAACACTCTCTCTCTGTCCCATCTCTCTCACACATCATCTTTCATATCTTTCACTCTTTCGTTTTCATCTCTCACTTTTTCTTTCTTCCTCTCTTTCTCGATTTATAATTTATCATCAATGAACGAACCAAAGTACGAACAATCAATCAATTAACCAACCAATCATCAATCAATCAGTTTGTAAAACACTATTTCCGCGATGTTCAACAGCGCTCCTCAGTGAATTTTGCAAACAGATGGGTCTTGAGATCCGCTCTGAGCTTCGTAAGTGATGGAGAAGTAGTCAGAGAAGGAGGTAGAGAGTTCCAGAGAAAATGGCCATTAAAAGCAAATGCAGATTTAGAAAAAAGAGTGTTCAACACGAGTTAAGAAGAAGTGAGAACATGAAGACGACTAACGAAGTAACAAGAAGGAGAAGAGTAGGATCGTCAAGAAAAGGCAAAAGTTTTTTTATTCTACGTAGATGAAGGTAAGAACTTCTAGCAACACTGTTAATCTGAGAAGAAGAGACATGCTAGAATCAAAGATAAAGCCTAGACTACGAAACTTGTGAACGAACCAACCGACGAACAAACCAACGAACGAGTTTCTTTTTGGGGGAAAAATGTCAGCGAGGAACAGACAGATGACGCTAAAAACCGAATAATAATAATAATAATAATAATAGCAACAGAAATAATAATAATAGCAATAACAAAAAAATACCCGAAATACAAAAATTGTAGGGAAAGCATTTCTTGAAAGTTTGAACGCTCCGAGCAGGATGTTTATTATTATTTATTTTTAACTGTTAATAATAATAATATAATAATAATAATATAATAATAATGATATAAATATAATAATAATAATAACATTAACAATAGATAGTTCGAAACGACAAAAATATGCGACACTCATCAGATAAATTCGGAATTATTGCCATCAAAATCCTCATAATAATCATAGTAATAATAATAACAATAATAAACAACAACAATAATAATAATAAATAATAATAAAAATAATAATAATTATTATAATTATTTTTATTATTGTTGTTGTTGTCCTCTGTTATGCTGCAAGTCAACGCAAGTCGATAGGGTAAAAGCCAGGGACTCCACTGTTGAGAAAATTATTATTATTATTATTATTATTTAAAAATGATCATCATCATAATAATTGTCATCATCATCATCATCATTATTATCATCATCATCAGGACATTCGTTACCACCATCATCATCATCATCATTATCATCATCATCATTATAACTTTTATCTACGTCATCATCATCATTAAAAGTTCAACTACTATCGATATTATCACCATCATCATCATCATCATCGTCATCATCCAAATCATTATCATGACTCACGGTGAGGGAAAGAACCCCTGGTGACGACTTTGTTAATCATTGAGGACAGAAACTGGACGCATCTGGCGAATTCGCACTCCAGACTCTCCACTTCTGAAAAACTTTTCACGAAAAAATTATCTTTTTATATTAGAACTAGTAGAGATCAATCAATCGATCAATCAATCAATCAATCAATCAATCAATCAATCAATCAATCAATCAATCAATCAATCAATCAATCAATCAATCAATCAATCAATCAATCAATCAATCAATCAATCAATCAATCAATCAATCAACTAATCAATCAATCAATCAGCCGACAGCCAACCACCCAAACAACCAATCAATCAACCAATCAATCAATCAACTTACTCTACATACTTAACGCCTTGAGACGTATCATCCACTTTTATATCATCATCACTGCTATCTCTATGCATATTTTTCGCAGCAAACTTACTACCACTACTATTATCAAGAATATCATTACTATTATTATTATTATTGTTATTATTATTATTATTATTATTAATATGAATGACGGAGTTCCAGATTTGTGAGAATCTTATAGCGATTTTTAAAATCTTCATAATCATCTCCTTGATGAATTCGACTTTTTTGTGCAGCATGCACCTAAGAACGATTAGTTGGTTGATTGGTTGGTTGGTGGTTGACAAGTTGGTTGATTGGTTGGTTGGTTAATTGGTAGGTTTATTGGTTGACAAGTTGGTTGATTGGTTGGTTGATTGAATGATTAGCTGATTGATCGGTTGACTGGTTGATAAGTTGGTTGATTGGTTGATAAGTTGGTTGATTGGTTGATAAGTTGGTTGATTGGTTGGTTGAATGACTAAATGATGGTTAAATTTGATGAATAATTGATTAATTGATTGAGTGATTTTACATTTAGTTTTTTTATGGTATACAAATTTGTTATTTAATTCATATTATAAAGCTTAATAAATCAGTAACTAAATAAATATAAAAATGAATGAATGAATGAATGAATGAATGAATGAATGAATGAACGAATGAACGAACGAACGAATGAATGAATGAATGAATGAATGAATGAATGAATGAATGAGCGAATGAATGAATCATTAAATCATGATCATCTCTACTACCTTTCCAATAGCGTCTTAACGTACTGCCTATGGCAAGATATGAAATGATTGAAATCGTTTGATTGGTCGAAATGACATTGAAATTCCAAACCAACTAAATGTAGAATCTAATTGGATGTTGAAAATCAAAAATCGAATGTCATTGGCTGACGATAACTGAAGGATAGTTTTGATTGGATGATGGCAACTGAATGAAGAATGAATTTGATTGGCTATATAAAAAAAAGGGAATTGAAGAATGAATTTGATTGGTTGTAAGAATGAAAAAAAAAAATAAGTCGAAGAACGAATTTGATTGGATGGTCATAATCACGTTCATCATCGACGTCGTCTACAACAACAACAACAACAACAACAACAACAACAACAACAACAACAACAACAACAACAACAACAACAACAACAACAACAACAACAGCGACGACAACAACAACAGCGACGACAACAACAACAAATACAACATCATCACATCAACAAACCCTTGTCATAATGTAATCATGAATATTGCTGGCAAAATGTAGGAGCCTCATCTTGAATATGAACATAGAGTGGGATGGTGATGATGTTGTTGTTGTTGTGGCTGATGTAGTGGCTGTTGTTGCGTTTCTGTCGGAGGCGGAAGTCACGTGGTTTAACGATGACGTCGAGATGTTTTCAAAGTTTTTAGGTAAATCTGAAGTTGAGAATTATACTCATCTAAATATCATCATCATCATCCCTTCAACATCATAATCATCACTTCAACATCGTCATCATCACTCCAACACCGTCATAATCACCATCATTTCAACATCATCGTCACCATCATTTCAACATCGTCATCACATCAACATCATCATCATCACTTCAACATCCTCATCATCATCATCACTTCAACATCCTCATCATCATCATCCTCACCAACCGCCAAATCTCAACTTCTGTAGCGAGTAGAGGGCCCACTTGATCTGCATAATAAATTGAAAAATTCTATTATAAGCTGTGACGTCATCGGAATTGATGATGAGGCAGCAGGGCCAGGGCAGGCTGTACTTCAAGTGCATGGTCTCGAAATATTTTATCGAACTGTAATCGTCGTCGTCGTCATCGCTGTTGTTGTTGTTGTCGTAGTTGTTGTGGTCGCAGTTGTTGTTGTTGTTAGTTTTGTTGGCAACTCTACTAACGGTCCATCTGTTTGGGACATAAAGAATCAACAGAACAATTAGTTAATTAATTAATTAATTGGTTATATCAATTATAGAGATTTATATCAATCAATCAATCAATCAATCAATCAATCAATCAATCAATCAATCAATCAATCAATCAATCAATCAATCAATCCGTAAATCAATCAACTAATCAACTAATTATTCAAGCAATCAACCAATCAAACAACCAATCAACCAACCAGCCAGCCAGCCAACCAATCAATCCACCAACCAACCTAGATACATGAGAATCGGTACTAGCGTCGCTGTATAAAGCTTCGTGCAACAAAAACTCAATGTGGCCTATCTCTTTGAGTTCATTGTCCTTTCTTTCCATCTGATCAATCAATCAATCAATCAATCAATCATCCATTCATTTTTTCGTTTTTTTTTCACAGACAACTTCATCAGCAAATAAAAAACTAAATCAATATTTGTTCATTTGATCAATCAATCAATCACACTCATTCAATCAATCATTCATTTAGTGATTCATTCATTCTATCATTCATTCAATCATTCTATCAATCGAGCAACCAGCCAACCAACCAATTAACCTTATCAAATAATGACGAACAGAAGTCGAACATAACCCTACCAGACTCCATCAAATAACAATTCTGAATAATAAAAATCATAATAATAATAATAATAATAATAATAATAATAATAATAATAATGACAATTATGACATCATAATCGTCATCACAAACAGACCCTGATCGCTTTGAAGTGTGAGTCGAGCTTGAAATTGTGCTTGAGCGTTAGTATGAGTTTGTTGGAGACGCTTTTATATCTATGCTCTATAAGCTGGTATATCGTTTTGTTTAGTTTGATTTCTATGTTGCCTATGTCTAATTTGTTGTTGTTGTTGATGTTGTCGATGTTGTTGATGTTGTTGTTGATGTTGTTGTTTTTTTTAGCGTCATCATTAACGTCATCTTCATCGTCAGAAAATTGAAATGAGTTCATTACAATCTTTCTTAAGAAATCGTCACAATCGAGTAAATAACTTTTGGCGGCAAATTTGAATGACGAATCATATGTTTGTTGTTGTTGTTGTTTCTGATGTTGTTGTTGATGTTGTTGAGGCTGAAGCTGTTGCAGTAGCAGCTGTTGTTGCTGCAGTTGGTGTCGCCAATGTATTTGCGGCTCTTGTATGAGCTGCTGTCTCTTTGTTCTTTGCTCTCGTTGATAACTTAAATGTCTTTGCTGACGTCGGTGTAGGAAGTTTGTTTTGAAAAGTTGATGTTGTTGTTGATGTTGTGGTTGTTGATGATGTTGTGGTTGTTGTTGCTGATGTTGTTGTTGATGTTGTTGTCGAGTTGACTTATCACCTAACTGCAGCAATCTAATTATTAAATGAAAAATTTGGGTTGCTAACGCGTGTGTGTATGTGTGTGGGTGTGTGTTTTTATGCGTATCATCATCATCATCATCATCATCAACAACAACAACAACAACAATACCATCTCTACAATTATTATCTTCAACATCATCACCACCATCATCAGTTCATATGTATGATAAATATCACAGTAGATACTTTTTTAAAAACTTGTCGACATCATCAACATCATCATCTTTAGTTGCTGTTTCGATGCGTCTGCCATCACTACCATCATCACCATCATCATCATTATCATCGCCAAAGTTACCGACAACATCATCATCATCATCACCACCATGACGACGATGCGTTCGTATGCATTCGCAATATAGTTGGTAGAACGATTTCATTGCTGCTGTTTTTGATGATGATGATGATGACGACGATGATGACGTCATTGCTGACGTTTTTGTTCTGTCATCGTTCTTATCATTATTTCTATCACCATCACCATCACCATCATCATCATTATTATTGTTATTATTATTATTGTTGTTGTTGTTGTTCAGTAGACAGTTGCACGTCTCGAGCAATTTGATAGATTTTCCAATAGTCAGAATTTCCTTCGAGACCGGATGCAAGAAATTCTTTTTTCCACGTTGTCTTGGCTGTATTTAGAGGTTTTTTGGCGGGAAGGGGGCGGAGAAAAGTTAATGATAATTATATTATTATGACTGTAATTATTATTATTATGGTTGTAATTATTATCATTGTTATTATTATTACAAATATTCATTTTATGATGGTCTTTTCATCCTATAGATAGTGTCACGAAATTTGCACTAACTGCGAATTACTACAACTACTACAATTACTATTTCTGCCGCTACTACTACTACTACTACTACTACTACTACTACTACTATTACTACTACTACTAATAATAATAATAATAATAATGATAATAATAACAATAATATTAATATTATAATATGTGGTAAGAATTTAGGCTGAAATAACACTCACACTCACATGATGGTGATGATGAAGAGGATTGCTACTATTACCATGACTTCCCTCATCATCATCGTTATCATCATCAGCGTCATCGTCGTCATCATCATCAAGAATTAAACATTCATCCCAAAACGTTTCATCCATCGCACTCCATTTGGGACCTCTGGGAAAGATGATGATGATGGTGGTGGTGATGATGACTATGATGATGGAGGTGGTGATGATTATGATGATTATGGTGATAGTGGTGATGATGATGACGATGATGGTGATGATGATTGTGATAGTGACCGTAAAGATGATATAAACCACTAAGGTGATGATGACCTTTAAGGTGATGATGATGATGACCTTTAAGGTGATGATGATGATGACCTTTAAGGTGATGATGATGATGACCTTTAAGATGATGATGACCTTTAAGATGATGATCACGATAATAGTGATGAGGATGGTGACGATAATTAGAAAGATTAAAAACTTCAGAAAAAACCAAAAAACCAAAACAAACTTTCGGATGAAAAACTCGCCATAGATATCATAGAGTACGCCCTTATTGAACCAAACGTCTATTATATCTATGGTCGGCCGGCTTATGGCAAGCCAAAAATCTATAACTAGATTCATCTGCGTGTGGAATTGTAACAATAACAACAAAAATGATAAATAACAATAACAATAATAATAACAATTATAATAATGATAATAATAATAATAATAATAATAATAATAATAATAATAATAATGGAACTAGCATCTTCACAGCAGCCTAACTGGTCCAATTCTAACAGCTTTGAATAGACAACATTAAGCAGATGAGTGACTAACTTCGAAGATGATGATGATGACGACGACGATGATGATGACAGTGGTGGTGGTTTTGATGATGATGATGAAGGAGGTTTTGATGATGATGATGAAGGAGGTTTTGATGATGATGATGATGAAGGCGACGACGTTGAGTCACGTGGCGATGATGATAAGTGACGTAATGGTGGCGGTGATGATGACGATGATGATACAGGTAATGATGATGATGGTAGAGGTAATGATGATGATGACGTTGATGATGATGATGACGACATGAGATAAGCTCCGCTATATAACGATGCCGTTAATGAGATAAATGACGCCCCAGAACTTGAATCCAATAAAGACGACGATGATGATGATGATGACGATGGTGTACCTAGTGATGATGACGATGATGAGAGTAATGATAATGATGATGATAACGACGACGACGATGATGATGATATCAATTTCTTGACGACGCCCTCGAATAAGAAGTGATAGATGATGGAGATTTGCTTCAGGTGCTTCATCAACCTGAAAGCTACATTCACTAATGTTGTGGTTCCCTCTGTCGATCATTGTGAATGAATGAATGAATGAATGAATAAATGAATAAGTGAATGAATGAGTGATTGAATAAGTGATTGAATGAGTGATTGAATGAGTGAATGAATAAGTGATTGAATAAATGATTGAATGAGTGAATGAATGAATGAATGAACGAACAAACAAACGAACAAACAAACAAACGAACAAACAAACAAACAAACGAACAAACAAACAAACGAACGAACGAACAAACGAACGAACAAACAAACGAACGAACAAATAAACCTTGCATTAATGTTTCCTTCTCAAGAACCACCAGGACTGATTGAAATCCCCTCAACCACTTGGCAGTAACTTCAGCAAGAGCTTGATGCGTCTGTGTCGCGGGCACCAAAGAATACAAATTCCGCTCTTTCATCGACACCATAGACAATTTAAAATCAGTTTTGTTGTTTATATTATTGCCTGTTGTGTTTTGGTTGCAATTAGAAACAGCTAGATCCGACTGATTAATGAAGATGGCGTCAGATCTATTAGTGTAACTGGAGTCCAATGGATTAGTGTGATTGGGGTCCAGACGATTTGTGAATATGGCGTCGCAGTATGCTCTCAAATGGACGATCATCGAACCGTATGTAGACAGATCGTTGAGGATTTTGTGTAGAGATTTCTAGAATTGGGTTAAAAATGAATCTATGTCATCATCACCATCATCATCTTCACCATCACCATCTTCTTCATCGTCATGATTATCATCGTCATCATCAAAACCTCGGCAAGATGGGCGATTATGACGTCACTGTTACGTTTGAATCTGCAACCATTCCATTTGAAGACAAACAACTGCTGGCTATTTCCGCTAAGCATCCTATTATTATTATTATTATTATTATTATCATCATCATCATTACCGTTGCAATCATTATCACAACCTACCATAATGTCTCTCTGATAACTTGGTATTCGGATAGCAGGTACTGCTTCATTGTATGACTTACCAATGATGATTCTTCTTGTATGTAAGCATTCCTGTATGTTTGTATGTATGTATGCGTATGTATGTTTGTTTGCATGTTTGTATGTATATGTATGTATGTTTGTGTGTATGTATGTATGTCTGTATGTATGTATATATGTATGTATGTATGCATGTATGTATGTATATATGTATGTATGTGTATGTATGTATGTTTGTTTGTTTGTATGTTGGTTGGTGTGTATGTTTGTTTGTATGTGGGTGTGTATGTATAGGTAAAACCAAAAATATCACAGAATACAAACAAACAAGTTACACACACCAGGATACAAAGGAATACAGAAAAAAAATACCAAATGGAGAAAAATCTAGAACGATTCTTTAGTACTTTTGAGTCGGGAGTGCCGTATTTGGCGATGTAATTACGCCAAACATCGTCCCTGCCAGACTTCCAGTACGGGTGAGTGACATTTTTTTCGAGCCATATTTTGCAAAATTTGAAAACGTCGCCCTTAAATTCAGATTCACTCTTAGACTTTGAAACTGTTTTTATTCTTTTGGACTGATCGCTATATAGGTCACCATCATCGTCATCATCGTTACCATTATCATCATCATCATCCTTGATATCATTATCATCATCCTTGATATCATTATCATCATCCTTGATATCATTATCATCATCCTTGATATCATTATCATCATCCTTGATATCATTATCATCATCCTTGATATCATTATCATCATCCTTGATATCCTTGATATCATTTTCAATCAAATTTGCTGAACTTTGAGCATCATTGACGTCGTCGTCATCGTCATCATCTGTCTGAAATAAATTAATAAATAAATGAATATATGAACGCGCACGCGCACACACACACACCAGACACACACACGCGCGCGCGCGCACACACACACACACACATATACGATGAGAAACATACAGATTTCAAAAATTTCATAATACTGCATACATTCAATATACATACAACCACACACACACACATACATATATACATACAAACAAACAAATCAACAAACAAACAAATCAACAAACAAACGAACAAACAAACAAAAGAACAAACAAACTAACAAAATCACTGTCAGCATATCTTGGAATGAAATAGTCATCATCATCATCCAGTAAATATTTTTTCCAGTCAAATTTTTTTAACTCCACTGGAAATTAACGAATTAATTAATTAATTACCGAATGAACGAATGAAAGAATGAATGAACATACATGAATGAACATAAAAGAATAACGTTTCAGTTGATCTACAGGAATGAACTTAAACAACAACTACAATAAAAAATTAACAATAAAAAGAATAAATAAATAAATAATAATAATCATAATTAGTATTATAATAAACAACATAAATAATAATAGACGGACGTTTTTGTTTTTGTATCGCGTTGGGAATGAACAGAGCGTAGACGCTCGTCGGACTGGATGCTAACAAGAGGAGCACACTGAGAATGCTGTACTGTGCTGCAGACTTTTAAAATTATGGAAAATAATTATGGAAAATAATTATGGAAAATAATTATGTAAAATAATTATGGAAAATAATTATGGAATAATAATAAAAATAATAACTATAATAATAACCGCAACAACAATAATAATAATAATAATATAATAATGATGATAGTGACGATGGTAGAGTCAATATGATATCATTCTTTTTTGAAAAATATATAGGAGATAGCTTGATGTATAGTCAGGTCAGGTTTAGAAGTTAAGAGAATAATTGAATAACAACAATAAACATTTATTATTATCATTATTATTATCGTTATTATTATTATCATAAAAAACCTTTTCTTTGCCATCGTACAAGGGCATGGATAAATATCTAGCTGTGACTTTTTTGAAATAATCAGCCTTCGTCGTCAAACCGTGGATGACAAACTTTTTATAAATTCTGAATATTTTAAATAAAATATTTCATTATAATATTACTGCAGGTGTAATCACCACTACTACTACTACAACTACTACTACTATAAATTGTACTAATGCTGATATTAATACCACTGCAGTTGCTATTGCTATTACTATGGCCATCAATACAGCTAGCTACACTGCTGGTGCTGCTACTACTTTGGCCACCAATACAACTAGCTACACCGCAGCTTCTGCTGCTGTTACTACCACTGCTTCTGCTAGTCACTAAGAATAAAAAACACTAATATTAATATAACAACTACTACTACTGCAGCCACTGCAGTTACTACTGCTACTGCTGCTACTACTACTAGTAAAAATAAAAATAATACCTTACCCATCCAGTGACCTTTCAACTTTACTCTCATCTGTCTCTAGAAATTTGTGAAATTTGAAATTGGAAAGTGCAAAGTTAAGGCAGAGATCAAAATTTTCAGTATTAACCTGTAGTGTTGATTAGTAAAAACTGATTATTATTTAAATTTTAAATTAAATATAAAAAAATAAATAAATAATATACAATATAATATATTTTATTAATAAAATAATTAATAAAGGATAGTGAGTATCTTAATATAATATTATCACAAAAATAAAATGTATGGATATGTATATTATCTAGTATATAGTTTACTTTACATACACACATATATATATAATTATAATTGTGATTTTTTGTTGAATAAACTCATTATTGAATTGAATTATAATTGTAATTATATATTATATATTAATAATTTATATAAAATAAATAAATATAAACTTATTTTTATTAATTTTTAAATTTAAAAATTCCCCCTTTGGCCTTTAGCAATAACTAATATAAAAAAAATGCCTAATAAACTAATAAATTAATCCTCTAATTTTTAAAAATTTGAAAAATTGCACTCCTCACCTGGCCGCTAGCAATCGAATTAATTAGTGATTTAACATCATCTTCAATAGCAATCCAACGCGCCATTATTTTGATTGCTATGGTTTAAAAGTGTGGAAATAGGGATGTGGTGTTGTATAGTTAGCGTCGGTATTATAGCCGGATTGAATGTTAAAAGAACGATTAGTTACGGGTTTGTTAGAAGTTTCTTTTTTTTGATTATATCATATCACCTCATAAGGGCATATACACATACACATGCAACGCATACAAACACACTCATCTGCACAAACACAATACACACATACATCAATCAAACAAACAAATTATTAAATAATGATAGAAATATACACATCAAAAATTACTCCTTTATATTATTTAAATAATAAATTCATGCTTGTAAATCAATTAAAAGAGATAGCATTACAAAATTCAGATAACAATTTATAGAGATATGTAAAAAGTTAAACTCATGACAGATCGCGCATGAAACTTTCAAAGTAACTGTGGGATCAATTGTATAATTATCATCACCATAATCACCATAAAAATCATCCGTATCGTCGTCGTCATCTGTCTCATCTTTTCCTTCTTCTTGACTATCCGGATGGGGAGTGACTTTGTTTAAAAAGTTTCGGCGTTTAATGGTTATTATTCCGGAAGTGTTTGCCGGAAGTATCTTGAACTTCCGGTTAACTAAGTGCTCTTTGTCCAGCGGTTCTGTGTCCACTGAAGAAAAAATTATTTGATTGCAATTATTTTATTAACTTTGATTAAAACGTAATTATCATATAATTCAATAAGATAGCATTAATATTAATTCATTGATAATATAATATTAATGATAATGATAACATTACGACGATGACGATAATGATAAAAGTGATAATATCGCTACAACCACTACTACCATTACTACTGCTGCTGCTGATTCTAGAGCTTCTTCAGCTGCTACTCATGCCGCTACTCCTGCCACTACTACTGCTTCTGCCTGCTATCTGTTGCTACCACTATTACTTCTTCTACTACTACTAATGATTATAATAAAAAGAACAAGAACAAGAAGAAGAACAAGAAGAATAAGAAAAACAAGAAGAAGAAGAAGAAGAAGAAGATGAAGAACAAGAACAAGAACAAGAACAAGAACAAGAAGAACAAGAACAAGAAGAACAAGAACAAGAACAAGAAGAGGAAGAAGAAACCCACGGCAAATGCAGCTGTCGTCGTGGTGTGTGAAACAGTCCGCATCAACTTCACTGCAATTAAACTTCACTCTATCTGGAGTTGTGAAAATTAAAACATGTTGGTAGTTAGTTACGAGATCAATGCATTTACAACATTGGTGTCAGAAGTGAGATTTTTGATAGATTTAAAACTTCCTACAATGAAGAATGTCATCATTAGAAGAACTCGATAGATCTTATCTGAGAGGAGAACTCGACTCAAAAGGATCAAGGGCAGCTTTGGTCTATTGTGGGGTTCCTAGCGAAGAAAAGTCAGGTTTGATGCGAAGTCGTAGATGTGATTCATTTAATTATTTGGATTAGTTTATTGTTTTGTTACTGTTGGTTTTCTAATTAGCACTCAAAAAAGTTTGCGATTGAGTTGTGTTCATCTATCGGAAATCGGAACCTACGGATGAATGAACTCTTGACGATCGTTGGAAGCTACACCACTGGTGTTGGAAAGATAGAGATAATTGAAGTAATAACATCGGTGATGGTAGTTCAAGGGATTTACAACAGTATTATATTAATTAATTGTTATTATGGTTATTATGGTCACATAATAATAAATGTATAATAATAATAATAATAATAATTTTTTTTCACACCACATATGGATGTTCGATTGTTGCAGAATAGGTTTTCAGTTCCAGTTGAATCTGCCTTTGAGATAGCTCTGTAAATATTATTATTATTTAAAATTATTATTATTACTATTTTTATTTATAATTATTATTTATTATTATATTATTATTATTATTATTTTGTAAACAATTTTGAAGACAAAGATTCCAAAATTCTGACTGAAAATAATGAAAATAACAAAAAGAAAACTGCTCGCCATGAATTAAGCATGACATATATTATAGTTACTATTATCGTCGTCGTCATCATCTTTTACCTTTTTCATCATCTTCTTCAACGACATCATCAACATCATCATCATCAACAACGGCAGCAGCAGCAGCTGTAGTAGCAGCAGCAGCAGCAGGAGTTTCAGTAATAGCATTACCATCCCACTTCTATAACCACCATCGTCGTCGTCATCATCACAGTAATAATAATAATAATCATTATTATGATAATAATTTTATAATTATTGTTATAATTAATAGCAAAATAAAAAAAAACCCATAATAATAGAAGCAGGCGATTAAGCTAGTGGCTGGAGTTACGTAGGAGTCATTTCTCTTGATACTGAAACACGTGGCTCTGCCACAACCAATCAGCCAAACATCCGGATCCAAAATCTATAATAATAAGAAAAATAATAATATTAATAAGAAGAAGAAAAAGAAGAAGAAAAAGAAGAAAAAAGAAGAAGAAGAAGAAGAAGAAGAAGACTAATACTTTTTCAAGATTGTTGTTACTAATCACCCAATGGCTGACTATCTCCGCTATGGTGAATTCTTTTAAAAAGATATATAGAAAATTATAGTAGTAATAATAACGTCATAATTATTATTCAATTATGAATAAAACGAAATTGATGATATAATTATTTATAAGTATATTATAGCTACTATGAACGAAAGAACGAACGAATAATAATAATAATAATGTCATTTATGAGTAAATAAATAAATAAATATATATATATATATATATATAAGTGGTAAACGAACGAACGAACGAAAGAGCAAACAAACATTCATTATAATTTTCCTCACTATAATCCGGCTGATCAAATGTATTTATGTTGACATTCGCCGAGCTAAGGCTGGAAAAATGTGATGGCACTCCTTGGGCCACCAAACTGCACTGTTCAGCGAAATACATCGCATTCCTCTCCAGCTCCATCGAATAATACTGTGTCAAATAGTACTATTGAATTAGAAATACATTGAGAGAGAGAGAGAAAGGGGAGGGGGAAGGAAGAGAGAAAGATAAAAACAAAATTTGAAATTACGGCTAGGTCTCAAACTTTGTAGAATAACATAAAGTAGAGAACAAAGTATGGAGAGAGAGAGAGAGAGAGAGAGAGAGAGAGAGAGGGAGAGAGAGAAAGAGAATGAATGAGGGAAAGAGAAAGAGTGAGAAAAAGAGAACTGGAGAGAAGGGTTAATTGAAAGTTCAAAAATCTGAAAACTAGCCAATCGTCTCATGCCACCGGTCTTAGAAGCGTAGCGAGCCCGAACTTTTCTGTGGTAGTACAGGAAGGCATACTTCTCGTCATTCTTAAAAATTCGACTCTTCTGCATGTCGCTTCTTATCTGACGAAAGATGCCGTCGGTGCCTGACTGAGAAGAAAAAAAATGAATGAATGGATGAATGAATGAATGGATGAATAAGTGAATGAATGAATGATGAATGAGTGAGTGAGTGAATGAATGATGAATGAGTGAGTGAGTGAATGAATGAATGAATGAATGAATGAATGAGTGAGTGAATGAATGAATGAATGAGTGAGTGAATGAATAAATAATTGAAAGAATAAGTGAATGAATAAGTAAATGAATAAGTGAATGAATAAGTGAATGTATAAGTGAATGAATAAGTGAATGTATAAGTGAATGAATAAGTGAATGAATAAATGAATGAATGAATGTGTGTCAGTGTATGGATGAGTGTGAAGGATTATAGCACTCAGTGAATTAAGCGTAAATTTAAAAACTTTGATCATCAAAATTTATTGAAAAAAAAACTCCCAAATAAAAGGCTTACAATTGAATGCCGTACAATCTCATGTAACTTGATGTCTCAGCGACACACACCACACACACAAACGCACGCACACACACGTACACACACGCACACACACACTTACAATCTACTCAAAAACTTGACAAATCAACGAGACACGTACGATTTGATTCGCTTGAAAAAAGGGAAATTCTATCAAAATTATCAAAAAAATGATCAAAATTATCATAAAACTATACATGCTATTTCAAATATTTATTTCAAATACTGTTTATTATTATCCTATTAATTATTATCGTTTTTGTTATTATTATTATTTATTTAATAAAAAATCATTATTCGCCATTATAATTTGATATAGCACGCAATTTTGAAAACTTGCAATTACTATACTACTACTGAATGAATTAATGAATGAATGGATGAATGAATGAATGGAGGAATGAATGGATGAATGAATGGATGAATGAATGAATGGATGAATGAATGAATGGATAGGTTGAAGAACATATAACAATACAACCATTTGATCAACAGACTTTAAAATCGCGGTTAAAATCTTGTTTTGTCTTTCGGTGTATCTTGCTAGAGCGGAGATGGAACTATAGTTAGAAACTACATGCTTATTTGTCTGCCGAGAGCCTCAAAGAGGACATAGAGGGCTTGGTGCTAAGCCCCATCTAAACAAATTGGCGTTCGTCGGCAGTTGGTGCACTAAATATTTTCTAGCAAATTTGAAGAGGGCTTCAGAAAGATTTTCCGTAGTTTTAGACCAACAAAAGATTTTGTTAGCTTTGATGACGGTTTTATTTCCAAATATTCTTCCGACTTGAAGTTATAAAGTACTATAATGTGCAGTAGCAGCTATGATAATAACAACAGATGAGACATATTTTATTTTCTTTAAACTTGAAATAAGGAGAAGAAGGTAAAATAAATGAAAATATAAGAGTCAAAATACTAGTTAAAATAAATTCATTAAAATGTACGATTTTCATATGCCATTATTATCATTGATAAGTACATTAAAGTTATAGTAATAATAATAACAACAACAACAATCATAATAATAATGATAATAATAAAATCGTAAAATTCTTAAAGGTGACTAGAGCAGAGGGACACAAACGATAAGAAGTAGGCGCTTTTAATGAGGACATGAATTATTATCGTCTGCTTTGGGGCCATGGATATTTTTTGGTGCTCTCTTTTGGGGGTAACTACTTTCGTTGTTTTGAACTGAAAAGGTTCCCTCGTCGGCCCGCCATAATTTTCTTTTTCTAAAGTAAATTTTTATTTATTTTTATAAATTTGTTTTATTATTATTATTATATTTATTATTGTGAATATTCTTATTAATGTTGTTGTTACTATCACTACTGCTGTTACTATCTTTAGCAGTATTAAATAGTAATAGTTGCAAAGGTAGTAATAATGAAAATATTGGTTGAAGTAGTTGAAGAAGTGGCAGAAATAGCGGCATCAATGGTAGTAGCTGTAGTAGTAGCAGTAGCAGCAGCAGTAGTTGTAGTAGTAGTAACGGTATGATTATTACTATTTAAAAATACATCTAACCGCATAGGCAGCGTTCGTTTATAAAGGTAGTCGGGCAGAGAGGGTTGATCTTGAAGCAGTCTGCCTTCACGAAATCTATATTATTTATAATAAATTCTCACACTTTTCATTAATTATTATATTTATTCATTTAAATTATGCCTCAAGTCTCAGGTGATGAGTTTTATTCATTCTTTCAATCGTTTTCTCGATCGATAATTTCATCCAAAATAATCGTCCATCCATTCATTCAGATGGATGAATGGATGGGAAGATAGATAGATAGATAGAAGAACCGATGGATGGAGGATGGGTGGATAGATGGAAAAATGATTGTAATCATTATAATCTATTTAAAATCTAATTAAAATTTAACTAATTATCCGAAGGTTATTAATGACCGCATATTTTATTTTCGCAGAAGATTGTTTCGTTACAGTTGGAACATTTATCAGTAAGCGGACGTCTCTCCAGTTTTCTATCAAAATGAAAATATTTCAGGAATTTAATATAGAATGTTGAAATTGTCATCAGTTTATTATATTATTAGGAAACTATAAAAATTTCATGCAACTGTCACTGGCTTAATATAGAGAAATTGAGTTATTTAAAAGCCATTATAAAATTGTCGTTGTATTTTTATAAAATTATCTTACAATTTTTATGAAATTAAAATATTTGGCAAAAAAAAAAACAAAAAGCCCAAATTATTTAACTTAATTTACTGGCGGAAAAATTCGAATATTTAGCGGGAAAGCATAAATAATTGGCGGGAAATTCAAAATTTGAAAGTTCATACCCGCTGTAATAGAGGCAAGAGTAGATTAGTTGGGGGTACATCTGAGATGTGACATTTGGGCCGGTCGTTTTCTTTATGCAGATAAATTCAGAACACCCCATCAACCACATGTCCGGATTTAGAATCTTTTTTGGATGGATAGATGAGAGGAAGGATGGATGGATGGATTGTGGGTGGGTGAATAGAAGGATGAATAGATGAATGAATGAATTGATGGATAGATCATCGAATGGATGGGCGGATTGATTGATGAAAGAATTGATGGATTGACCGATGGATGACGAATAGAAGGACAAATGAAGTTGGATATCCAACTGGATGGTTAAATGGATGAAATTGCAAATGAACACGCAGTTATTGGCATCTAAATTATGATATGAAAGATAGACGGAGAGTTGGATGGATGGATGAATTGATGGATGGATGGATGAATGAACAGATAGATAGATGGAAAAAGTGGTAAATGGTTTACCCCTTCAAACAACATTCTACCTTGCTTGATGTGTTGTCAAACTTTGCCCACAATTCAAAAACTACCGATTTATTTTGTTCTGAATGAATGAACGAATGAGTGAATGAATGAGCGAACGAACGAATGAATGAATGAACAAATGGTTGAATGAATAAATGAACGAACGAACAAATGAAAGACAGAATAATGAACCAACTATTAAGATGTTTATTCGATCATTTAAGGGCAAAACTAAATAATTAGGTAATTAAGTAATTAAAAAACAATCAAATTAAAAATAAAACAAAGAACGAACTAATGAACAAACGAACGTAAAGATGAATGAATGAAAAAACGAATGAATGAACGAATGAAGTATTTTTCTTACCATTCCTTGTCGAAAAAAAGTTACTAGAAAATTGGGATGAGTCAAAGCCGTCGATTTGAACCGATTCTATCGGTCCCTCGGTACAATTCTTCAAGTGTGAGCGAAGCATAACTTCGAATTCGTTCGAATAGTACTTGTAATGATAATGATCGCGATGATGAAGATGATGATAACGATGATGATAACGATGATGATAATGCTGATACTAATGATGATGATGATGATAGCGATGATGATAATGATGATGATAATGATGATGATGATGATGATGATAACGATGACGATGATGGCTACGATGACGATGATAATTGCGATGACGGTAATGATTATGATGAAGAAGTGGGCGGTGATGATGACGATGACGACCATGCTGTATACACAACATACAAACTTATCAAACATGCACACCTGTTTCTACAAAAGAAGGAGAAAAACCACTAACTAGACAACAAATACACAATAAACACACACGCACATACACACACTTATACATACATATATATATATATATATATATATATATATATATATATATACACACACACAAAACACATCCCCATACACACCTATATACACAAGATAAACACACATACACAAAATACACTCTCATGCACACTCATACACACCAATACCCAACATGTATACCAACAAATATCCACCAGAGAACCCACCAGAATATCAACAAATACACAAAATACTTAAAAATATCAACAAATACCTATCAAAATACCAACAAATACCCAACAAATACCCACCAGAATACAAACAGATACACAAAACACTTTAAAATATCAACCAACACCCATAAGAATACAAACAGATACACAAAACACTTTAAAATATCAACCAACACCCATACGAATACAAACAGATACACAAAACACTCAAAAATATCAACAAATACCCAACAAACAGACACACTTAGGTACCAATTTTCTCATGGTAGCATTAGCATTCAACGATGTGGCATACCTCAGACTCTCGTGTGCGTCCATGTATATACTTCTTAATGTATTATTCTTCATCATTGGTAAGAAGTACTGTGTACAAAAATAATAATAATTAAGAATGTTTTATAGTTAATTAATTGATAATTAACAAAAATGATAATCAAGAATGTTTTATAATTAATTAATAATTAATATTTATGTAGCGCTGATTTAGCGCTGCTTTTGTGATGCAATATTTGGTGAAGATGTTATGATTTTCCCCATATGAAAGTATCCATGTATTACATTGTTAACGCTTGACGAAAAACAAAAGGTAAGATAGATAGATAGATAGATAGATAGATAGATAGATAGATAGATAGATAGATAGATAGATAGATAGATAGATAGATAGATAGATAGATAGATAGATAGATAGATAGATAGATAGATAGATAGATAGATAGATAGATAGATAGATAGATAGATAGATAGATAGATAGATAAATAGATAGATAGATAGATTAGATAGATAGATAGAGAGAGAGAGAGAGAGAGAGAGAGAAAGAGAGAGAGAGAGAGAGAGAGGAGAGAGAGATAGCAAAAGGAAGTGAGAGTGAAGGAGAGGAAGGAGAGAGAGAGAGAGAAAGATAAAAAAAATTATACAGCATAAGATACAACAAACATACACACCTCAAAATACAACAAACACCCTTACATACAATACATACAATACAAAGAATGTATTTCTCGCAAAAGACAAACAAACTTGAGAACTTTCGACGAAATCGCGTTGCAGTTGCATGATAGCTAAGATCGCTTGCCAGAAAAATATCCGCGGCTTCATAACATTTCCCATCTAATATAAAAAGATTAATTAAACATTATCCCTAATTTCGTGTATGTTTTGGTTGGTGGATTTATTTATTTTAAAAACTGACTCGATGACGTCACAAAAAGATTATTAATATTTTTTTAGATATATTTTTTTACACTTGTGTATTTCGATCAATCTATTTACTTAGCGGAAAACATGCTAAAACGCCGTAAAAATTTTAACGAACGAACGTACGAATAAACGAACGAACAAACGTACTAAATTTTGTTCGTTCATAACGGACGAATGAATGAATAAACGAATAAATGTCAAACGAATAATGATCATGAAAAAACGAAAAACAAAAAACACGCGAACACACTGCTACTATTTCCTCATGGATATAGTATTATATGGATATTATAAATATCCATGGTGCAAATAGACCGGTGCATAACCAGTCAAACAGTCTCTGACCAAGAGAGCGATTTTGAACCTATTCCTTAGGGAAGGAGTGGGCAAACTTAAAACAGCTTCGCGGGACGCATGCGGTCCGCGAAGCTATTTTACGTGGCCAGCAAAGCCTTATACACCAAAAAAGTTCGTCAGTCAGACATTATGACCAAAAAAGGAGCCACAAATCTCAAAAAAATTCTTTCCCGGGTTGAAAATATTTGCTATTTAAGTACATATGCGGCCCTTCAAAGGTCAAATAGTTCTCAATTCGGTTCTCACAGCAAAAAGTTTGCCTACCCCTGCCTTAGGGGGAATTTAAATCCTTTGGGTTGTTTGTATTGTATTGTTTGTGTTGTATTGTATTGTTTGTGATGTATTGTATTGTTTGTATGGCATTATTTTGTATTTGGTTTGTGGTTCAATTATTTATTATTTTTAACAATAATGTTACAATTATACAATATGAATAAATTGATTGATATGCTTAATTCTTAAATTTTTTATAAAATTATAAAATCTACAAAAAGTATAATTATTTAAATGAATAAACCTAAAAAATTTGATAAAAAACAATTAAAATATTGGAATCCAAAAACCTTTACTTGTTTGGTTCTCTTTGTCTGAAAGCGCAATAATACATCATAAAACAAAGCGCACTGATATCACTGTTGTCGGTTCGACGGAAGTATTCTATTTCTTTTTACAGAAAGTTATTCTTCGAGATATCATGTCATATAGTGAATCTGAAAATTATAAAAGGTTTCTTTAATCAAATTTCTAATTTATTTTATTGATTTTATTATTAATTTTATTTAAAGTTATTTTCCAGTTAATTTGATTATTAAATTTTACAAAATAAGCTGGCAGTTGCGTTAATTTTGTTCTAAGCGTGCTTTTCCCAGATAGAAATAAAAAATGGCGTTTCTCACCATTTTGTTCTTTATTTGACCAATTATTTTTAATTTATTTTAATGGCCGATGGCTTTTTTGGTTTTACAGCTTCAATAGAAACAAATTTTCATCGCCCCAAAGATGTTTTTGTGGTAAAATTGTCAATTTTTCATGAGATTTGCTTCGCCCACGTGATTTCTACTACGTTCTCAAAAGTTAATTTGTGAACGTGCTTACTAAATTATATTTCAGCCACGATCGAGTTGTTGCGAGTTAATGACATCTGTCAAATCACCAAGTTGTCAGTCGCCATATTGTTTCAAAAGACTTGTGTTGGTACAAGTAGATTAAAATTCAGATCAAGTAGATTCAAATAGATTATCAATTGATTGGCCGAAACCAAACATTATATAATAATAATAAAGATATTTTTTCAAACAATATTCATTTCAAAATAATTTTCAATAAATATTTCAAAAACAGCTTGCATTCGATATTTTTAATTGCTAATCTATTTTACATTAAAATAAATCATGATCAATCAATCAAATTAATTTTATAATCAATAAATTCATGAACTAATAAAAATGATTTTTGGCCTGCATTCATAAATTATAAATTCTTTAAATGAAAAACGAATAAAATAAATTTACTAATAAATAATATTTTTAAAAAGGACGAAAAATTAATAACTGTGCTTTAAAGCATCATTAATTTATTATATTACAACAAGACAAGAACGGGTTATAAAAAAAGGGGAGGACAATGCAAAATTTACCTAGATATTTTTTAACTCTTTGTTTACCATTTTTCGATTACCTAGTACCGCTCTCTAAACCCTTGGTGGCATGAGTGATGCCATTTTGCCAATCTAAGTTTCTAATTTGTTCGTAGCAGAGCACGTGATTCCGCTGGAGCTCCAACTCGTGGTAGCAAAGAGCGTGATTACAGCAACAGGTCAGAAGACCGCGCCAGGTCTGATCATAACAACAGCAGCAATGACTATAGTGGACCCCCTGGAATGCAGCCTGATGGGATGATTGAGGTTAGGGGGGGATTGGGATTATGTCCATAAAGGAACTTTTTTATATAAGAATGGTCAAATGGCTAAAAATATTTAATTATGATTGAGTTGAATGTAAAAATAGCTAGCTATTGATTTCTTACCATTATTGTCAATCAAAAAGTCAATGACATTGATTGGAGTTGTTACTATAATAGGATTTTTATTACTTGTCTTGAATTCTCATTTGTTCATAATTATCTTGAAGTATTTTTAGATCAATAAAATGGAAAAGGAAACACACAACCCAACAGAGCAACTGGGAGGAAATAATGGAGAATTTTGACGACATGAACTTACGTGAGGAACTCCTGAGAGGCATCTACGCCTATGGTTTTGAGAAGCCCTCGGCCATTCAACAGAGGGCAATCATGCCATGCGTCCAGGGTCATGATGTCATTGCTCAGGCTCAATCGGGAACAGGCAAGACAGCAACTTTTGCAGTGACCATCCTTCAACAACTTGATCCAGCCCTCAAGGAGTGTCAGGCCCTTGTCCTAGCTCCAACCAGAGAACTGGCTCAACAGGTTCTTTGATGATTAATAATTATTAATCAACTGTTAAGAACCAATTAATTATAATTAATTAGTTGTTTGTTCATAATTATTTTGCTGTGGTTGTTCCCATTGTGATACAAATTAATTGGTGTAATTATCTTTGAGATTGTTTATATTATAATTGCTGATGATGATCCTAATGTTTATGCTACAACTGTGTGCATTACAACCTTATGGATCGATAGGACTGAGGCAATTTGATGAATATGCAAATAAATCTACCTAACAACGTAAATGATAACATTCTTATTTAGTCGTCCTTACTATAATTCATTTGTTGAAACAGTATTTTATCAGTTTTCACCTACCATTTTCCAATTAGTTAACCTTTCAGCACTGTTAACATCACATACACACATTTCTTGTATTAGATTCAAAAAGTGGTGATAGCCCTGGGTGATTACATGGAAGCCCAGTGCCACGCCTGCATCGGGGGCACCAACGTACGAGAGGATCTGCACAGGCTGTCAAACGGCATCCAGATAGTCGTCGGTACTCCCGGTAGAGTTTTTGACATGATCAACAGGAAGGCGCTAAGTAATTTTTGCAGTTTTTTTTTTCAATTTAAATCATGTGAAAACAATTTATTTATATTTTTTATCTACCCTCTCTTTGTAAAAGACAAAAATGCCAACATGTGTGCTAGTAGTTATGATGTGCACTCATGTGAAATCACACACACGTGAACAAAAAAGAATGTGCATTGATTTGCTTACACATTTGTGTGCGTTCCCAGACACCAGATTCATTCGCATCTTCATTCTGGATGAGGCAGATGAGATGCTGTCACGTGGGTTCAAAGACCAAATCTACGATGTGTTTAGGACTCTCAATGAAAATATTCAAGTCAGTCTTTCAACTGATTCATTTCTATTAGTTACCTCCTTTTTTATTTGTTCATTTGCATTTGCTGTTATCAAAATGAGAAATGTTGCCTGAGTTTGATGAGGCATGTTATCTGATCTTCTTATGTTATCATCCCATCCATCACAGGTGATCTTGCTATCAGCCACCATGCCTGAAGATGTGCTTGAAGTCACCAAGCGCTTCATGAGGAATCCGGTCAGGATTCTAGTGAGGAAGGAGGAGCTAACTTTGGAGGGTATCAGGCAGTTCTACATTGAAGTCGAGCAAGAGGTTGGCTCAATGTTGCTGTTGGCTGTTTTGGCTGGCCTTCTATTTTTGTTTAAAATTATAAGACAATGATAATAAATCTTTAGTAGATCATCATGAAATAAGTATCCTGATATGAAAAATCATACATTGATAATTTATTCATAATATATCTTCTTTCAAAGAACCATTTTGTTTTAAAATGGTGGTAAGTAATGTAACTTGCCAGCGTACATGACAAATTTGGTTTGAAAAAATAAGAAGTAGATAATACACATTCTCACATAAACCAAACTTGGGTGAATATACAATGGGCTTGTCAGTGCCTGCATATTCAAGAAGTAATTGGTACAATGTTTCACTTCATTTTGAATTCAAAATTGTCTTGTGATGTACTCTGAATTATGTATGTACACATTTTTTCTTTACTGCTGATGTCAAGGTTTTATATCAAGATATTATTTCAATGCACATGTATGCACCTTCTTTAAAGCACCATTGTGATGTGATACATATTGTATCGTGATATCACACGTGGCCGTCAAACTAGAAGGAAATGATACACATACAAGCCAAACTTGGGTGAATATGTAAGCTAATCAGTGCTTGCACATTCAATAAGTAATTGGTACAAGCATACACATAGCAGAACATGCAAACAAAACACACACGCATTCAACAACAACGCCTATAAACCATTCCTAAACTATACAACTAACAAAGGAATGGAAGCTTGATACTCTGTGTGACCTGTACGAGACACTGACCATAACACAAGCTGTCATCTTCTGCAACACCAGGCGTAAGGTCGAGTGGCTGACGGAGAAGATGCACAGTAGAGATTTTACAGTCTCTGCTATTGTTAGTAGTAGTAGTAGTATTACTACTTTAGTTACTGACAATTTTCAACTCTATTTGATTATTTCAGCTTGATTTATAAATGATTGATTGACTGGTGAGACATTATTTTATGCAATTGATCTTTCATTAATTTCTGTCACAAATGAAAATAACCTTGAACTTTTCAACCCACTCACAGCACGGAGACATGGACCAAGGTCAGAGGGACGTGATCATGAGGGAGTTCAGATCCGGGTCGAGTCGTGTCCTCATCACTACTGACCTTCTGGCTAGGGGCATCGACGTACAGCAAGTGTCGTTGGTCATCAATTATGACCTGCCAACAAATAGGGAGAATTATATTCATAGGTTGGTTGGTGTGACAGTTGGGTCATACAATTGTTTTTCAGCTTCTTTTTTATTTGTTATTGAAATCTTATAAAAGTGCCGCTGCTTGCATTTGAACATCATTTTCAATGTGTGTGTATATATATTTTGTCATAACTTTACAAAAATTTAGAATTGGGCGAGGCGGTCGGTTCGGTAGGAAGGGGGTTGCGATAAACTTCATGACATCAGAGGATAGGAGGACTCTGAAGGACATAGAGACCTTCTACAATACCCAGATTGATGAGATGCCCATGAACGTTGCTGACCTCATCTAGGTCTTGTGGTGTTGTTTGTTGTTGACGTTTGTTTAGGTATGGGTTGATTTCTTTCATCTGTGCTTGTGTGTGTGTGTGTGTCTGTAGTGTGTATGTAGTGAGTGATAAGATTCAATCTTTAATCTTTGTTTTTAACAGTAATTTGATAGCATTTTTTCGTACCTAGTTCTGTTTATTTCATTTCAATTAAAACTTTTAATTTATTAATCTTCAATTAATTTTTTTCTCCAGATCAATCAGTCAGGGGTAGAGTTCCATGGAGTTGATTGATTGATGTAAGCCGTTATTACTTAGTTGATGAGTTGACATGAGGAAGAAAAAGTAAAAATAAAAAAAGATAGTTCAGGAGAGATAGAGAGAGAGAGAGAATTTAAATAAAATAAATGAAAATATTAATAATTATTTTTTAAGATGGATGATATAAATGAATGAAAGTTACTATCCCTCTTTTTTAAAAATATCGAATTTTTATTATTTTTTTTTGAGATGCTAGTGACAAAAGATTGTTGTTTTGGAAAAAATTCTCTTTTTGTTGTGCTATAATAATTATATTATTTAAAACTAATGTGTTTTTTGGAAAGATTTAATTTTTTAAGGTTTAACATTTTCATTGATACGGTCTCCTTTTGGCTAATCTAATAAATCTTTTGAACTATCAAAATTGGGTTTTCACTAATTGCATCTTGAAGTATATTTTATAAGCTATAGGTTGATGTGTGTGTATTTGTATGTGTGATTTTGTGATTGTGTGTCTGTGTGTGTATTGGTAGTTTTAATTCGTTGATTGCCTATATTTTTATTGTTAACAATTCAATATCTTGTTAAAATGTAAGCATGAGTGTTTATATAATATTTGTATATGAGAGTATTATATATATTTGTTGGTTATTTGTATACAAGTATATATATATATATATATATTATAAATATATATATATATGTGCGTTTTTGTATAAGTAATGCATATACACACTTTGTATATAAATAATTGTGTGTAATATATGTATGTGTATATACGCTAGTGTGCGTGCATGAATGTGTACATGTGCTTGTGTATTTATGTATGTATGTGTGTCTGTGTGTGTTTGTGTATGCAAATGTAAAGTGATTGTAGACTAATTATATATAATTTAATTATATATATATATATATATAATTATAACGTTTATTCGTTAGTTTTTTTCTTATTAATGCTGATTTAAATTTTATAATATAAAGTAAGAAAATATGCAAGAAGATAAAAATAATTTAGCCTGGGATGATTTCAATGTACGCATATGATAGGAAATTTTTTAATTATTTTCACAATTACTATTATTATGATTAAAGTTATTATTAATGTTAAAATTATTAATGATGTTGGAATTATTATGATTATAATTATTATTTATTTTGAAATTATTATTATTAATGTTGGAATTATTATTAATGTTTCTTCAGTGCAAATGAAAATAAAATATATTGATGATGACGACCTTGTAGTAGAATAAAATGGATAAAATAGATCATGTTCTTCTCAAGACGTTTTGTTTTAGTTATTAATTCGTAATTAATTAGTATTGGGCAATAATATTATTAATTCATAGTTTCAGTACTTAGTTAGGGCTGTCCGCCATTAATTATATAATATTAATTATAATAATAATATAATATTAATAATTATCAATATTAGCAGCTAGAGAACTCAGTTCTTTTCTTTCCCAGGTTCTACATTCCACACAAATCCAGCCTTGTATGGTTGTGTCTGTGTGCGCGATCCTGTGTGTGTGTGTTGTGTGTACTTATTGAAATGGTTGGGTGTGTGAATGAATGAGTGGATGTGTGAATGAACGAGTGGATGTGTGAATAAATGTATAAATACATTTCTTTGCTCCTTTTATTTATTGAAGTAGCAAATAAACACTAAATGAATAAGTGCATTTGATTTGCTGATTGATCGAGGGAATGATTGATTGAATGAACAACTGATTGGATGATTGACGCATCCAAACAGATATATACACACAATATACATACATACATGCATACATACATACACACATACATTCACACATAGGTGCATACATGTATGATATCTGGCAAACTTCAAATATTTTAAACTGAGTCAACTGAAATGACAATTTCCAATTAGCGCAATGAAAAATGAATACTCAGACCAGTTACACGGACGTTTGTGCATGTATGTGTGTAAACAAACAATCTCTCATTCTTTTTATTTTTCTGATACATTCTTTTCATCATTTTCTGTCTTGTTACTTCTGTGTTTATATATATATATATATATATATATATATATATATATATATATATACAATACACATACATTCACATATTAATATTATATACCTACTCACTCACACGCACTCTCTCTCACACACACATATATATATACATTTAAAAAGTATGTATGTGCATGCACTTGTATACAAATACAATCACAAACATATAAATAAAACTTTGACGTGCCTCTTTGGCTAACAGTTTGTTTGGAAAACTAAATTTAATTGTTTTTCAAAATATTATAAGGTTTGAACTAGCTAGTTTGATATTGTTTTTAAAATTAATTTTATTTATCAACGAATTCCTTATGTGATAATCATTTAATCAATCAATCATTTAATCAATCAATTAATCAATCAATCATTTTATCCATCAACTCTTTAGTTAATTCATCAATAAGCAAGTTATAAAAAGCAACAATACACATACATATACGGAAAGAGACAAACAGACAAGCAGGAAATCAAACATGGACAAATTCCTAGATGACTTTTATTTAAATTCAGTTCTACCTCGGAGATATGACGTCATGAGAAACGTCACAAAGTGTCTGCCGCTAGTTACAGAAATTTTAAACTCCGTGGAGAAGAAAGAGCCACGTTTCAAGGGCATTTACTGCCAACATCTTCCAAAAGAGTTTCTGGAAAAATACACCATCAACAAAAACAACAACAATAATAATAATAACATCAATAGAGCTTTTTCCGATTTTATTAATAATGATCTCTGTGATAGCGGTGCTGATAATGATGACAATTACGATGATAATGACGTAAACAAATTTTACAAAAAACCTTGTAACAACAGCAACAACAACAACATCAACAACAATGACATTAACAACTTTCAGCCGTACCCCTCACTTGACACTAACCACTGCTCACTCCCGTACTCATTCTTAACTCAAAGCGGTATTCGCGTGCTCTCCGCGAAGAAATTCGAAATATTCCTCTACCTAAATCCTACGGGGGCCTTCAGCGTGGTCGAGTTGGACAATTTTAGCCCTGAATTTCCAGGGACAGCCGCGATGAAACTTGGCGACGGTCGAAAGAGGTCTATGTCACTCTGGGTTGAGTTTATCACGGCTTCAGGTTGGTTTGGTCTGATGTTTGTTGGCTGTAAAGTTTTTTTTTGTTTGTATGGAATGAAGTTTGTCAGCATTTATCGCTATTTAGTACTAAGACTACTAATATTTTTACTTATAATACTACTGGCATACTAATGCTGCTGCTACTACTACTACTACTACTACTACTACTACTACTACTACTACTACTAATAATAATAATAATAATAATATAAATAATAATATAAATAATTCAGGATTCCTGTCTGCTAGAAAATTGAGGTCGAGATTTAGAAACTTAGTCATCTCCGTCTTGTCCGAGAAAAGATTTGATCGAAATGTCGCTAGACTCGTAGATGACCAAGAAGATAATAATAATAATAATAATCATAATAATAATGATCATCACAATAATAATCATTATCATCGTCGTCATCATCATCTTAGCTATAACAATTATGGCATTTTTAATAGGGATAACAAAATTGAGAGCGAGAGAATTGGCGAAGCCAATAATAATAACAATAGAAATAATAAATGTGCCATATTTAATAATAATAATAAAATTATGAGTAATAGTAATGATGGCTGTAGTAGCTTTGCTGCTGCTGGCCGAGATGAAGTCGTACTGAGGTTGTTTAATGAGATAGATGTCGCGGTTACACTGGCTTTTAGGTGAGTGTTGTGTGTGGATTTCTGTGGTGTTTTTGGGTATGTTTTCGGGTATTTTATGTTTCCTATATGTTTACAATTGTAAGGTTCTGGATTTCCATGTTCAGATTAATGTTGTGATGTCTTGTATGTAATGTTTCGGCATCTAAAATGACAACAAGTTGCTTGAGAGTTTACACTCACCTCCGAAAATTAACATCATTATGTTAGTCGCCACTATTATCATCATTACCACCATCGTCATCTTCCTCCTCATCATCATCATCGTCATCATTACCATCATCATCATCGTCACCCAAACAACAACTAGGTATCAGAATAGCTGGCCGAGAAAAATGACAGACTGCAAGAACTTTCCCTCTTCACCACTCTCTGTCCACATCGAGAACTGCAAAAAACTTGGTTTCGATTTGTTATCGAAAAGGGCAGAAAAACAATTTCGACCCTTGAATTGCTCTTACAACAGCAGCAGTAGCAACAACAACATCAACCTCAACATCAACAATAAAATCAACACCAAAAATAACATCAACCTCAACAATAACATCAACACCAACAATAACATCAACAATAACATCCATAATAGCCAAAGTTGCCTCAACAACTACAACGGTTATAGTAACGACAATGCTTATTGTGATAATGATTATTGTGATAATAGCCAAGATTATTATATCAGTCACTTTAACATCAACAACAACAGCTACAGCACCAATAACATTAACTATTTCACCACCAACAACGACAATTTGCGACGAAATACAGCAACATCATCAACAACAACAGCGACAATTTTATCAAACGAAGATGACGCGTGGATGACGTCATTAGATAGACCGGAAATGATGCTACTAAATGACGATTACAAACAACTATGTCTTGAATTTTTTGAATGTTTCCGGGAAATTATCTTTACTGATCAAGATTTTTTTCAAAATTGTTTGATTAGTGATACATTTTTAGAGAAGAAGAGTTACAACAACAATGCAAGCAATAATACTTCAGACAACTCTAGCAATTTTAAGAGTAATTGTACTACGAAAAAAACTCTAACAGACCTCAAAAAAATCGCAAAAACTTCAACGAAAAACTCGTCAAACTTATTCAATGAAACAACCACAGCTCAACATTTCAACGCTGACAATAGCTTCTCTACCAACAACACGAGAACTACACAAAGTACAACAACAAAATGCCCTAATACTTCAAACAACAGCACTACAACGACGACATCACCAACAGCAGCGGCAGTAGTAGTAGCGGCAGCAGCAGCAGCAAAGACGTCAACCGGATTAACACTCGAAGAATTAAACAGTATATTTTCAGGTTCAGTTTTCAGAAATTTGATAATACTAGAACGTATGAAACGCCCAAATAACGATCGAAAATGGACGAAAGGACTTTTGAAGCACAAAATAGTCAGCATCACGACGCAGATGTTATTCTGCATGCTATCTCGCTCCTGTCCGGCTTTCTTAAACAACTCACATAACTTTTACAACGGCCAAGAGATGAATTTGAAGTTAGGAAAGATGAACAACGTCGTTTGGTCGTTCTTGAGGTGGCTGATGATTCTGAGAGGGAATAATATTGGTGGTGATGATGATGATGATGATGGTGGTGGTGATGGTGGCATTGGTAGTGGTGTTTGTGGTGGAAGTAATTGTCACCACCAAGAGGTAAAATTTTGGGGTTGAAAGGTTAAAATTGTAAACAATGACTAACCAACGTTTAAAAGAGTTACTCGAAATAAAGTTTATGAACATGGACAATGTAATTATCGCTATTTAGTTAATCGTGATTATTTGATTATTTATTTATAAAAATTTATTTATTGAATATTAATTATTTTTTGCACGCCTCATTATAACTTATCAATACCACACAACTCACATGTTACAAAACATTAATTAATCAATACACCACCATACACACATTGTTCTGTTGAGATTAGCTCGATGTAACCAGACACCAAAAACACCTCTAATTATTTCCAGATTAGTTTGATGTCGTTCATTCACCCGTCATCAACCACACGAGCGTTTATGTGTAAGACACGCAATGTCTGGATTACCGAAAACTAATTGATGCTATTACATAGTTCTTATTTCTATATTTGCATGTGGTGTCAAACGTACAATTGCTTTCTCTCTCTCTCTCTCTCTCTTTCTCTCTCTCTCATCTTCTCTCTAATGTGTGTTTGTGTGTGTGTGTTTCATGAATGACATATCCTATAATTAAATATTGATGATTGCATTTAAGTACTGTTTCGAAGTTTCGAAAAACAACATAGTATGTATCTGTTTTATGTATTGTATTTCATGTTTTGTATTTCATGTTTTGTATCTCACGTTTTGTATCTCATGTTTTGTATTTCACGTTTCGTACATTATGTTCTGTGTATGTTAGACCGTAACAAAATCAACCGCAACAAGATACTATCATTATCAAGATACTATCATTATACTATCATCATACTATATATATACTATACTATATCATATACTATCATTATCAAGATACTATCATTATACTATCATCATACTACATATATACTATACTATATCATATACTATCACCATGATACTATCACTATCAAGATACTATCATTAAAACATAATAACAATAAAGAACATTGACGACGAAAGAACACGGTATAGACGAAAGATATTTTCTTATATTTTCTGAGGGTAGGCGAGCCCCGAAAGACCCACCAAGCACGAGAAACTAACGATGTCAAGCTCGCCTTTCGCTTAAGCTCCCATGCCGTCAGAGTCAATTTTAAACTATTTCAAGAGTTTATAACGTTTTAACTAAGGTGTTTTGATTGATAAATTATTTTGTTTTTGTTTTATTTTCATTTTTTATAAATATAAATACAAATTAATATTTATTTATTAAAAACGCTTAAAATTAATAAAGTTTAATTTTTTTTAAATTAAAACAAAACTACGGAATGAATTTATAATTAACAAAAGCAGCGCGCACTCAAGAGGTGGCAGGTACGTTTGTAGCTTCCTAGCGATGTCCTTCCGTTATGATAATCGTTGCAGTGATGCCAGATGAAATATTCATCATCGTCGTCATCATCGTCGTCGTATATTCTTTGCTACTTTCATTTAAATTATAGCATCAATAACAGTCACACCAACAACTGTGATAATAATAGTAGTTGTAATAATGATCTTAGTCTGGTTTGTAGCCTAAAAGTCTCGGGACAACGAAAGAATTGAACCAACCTTCACCTCTTTATAATTTTTCAAATAAAAGAAACGATTCTTTCTTTAACGTTTTTTAAAACTGTATCGCCAGCAAGTAAATTACTTCAGCATTGAAAGTAGTAATTAGGCAGTATTGTAGTGTAGTATCAACTTGATAAAATCTAATACAATTTATTAGAAATACAGAATAGCTATAACCCCATGAACACATGAAACAACTGTATGATGATAATATTTGTTCCATGTACGGTTTATAAAATAAAACGACTACTACCACTACTACTGCTGCTGCTACTACTACTACTACTACTGCCACTGCTACTACTACTACTACAACAACAACTACTACTACTACTACCATTACTATTACTACTGCTACTACTACTGCCACTATTACTACTG